GTAAGGTACTGTAGTGACCACCAGATCTTTTAATTAAGATCAAATAAAGGTAAAGATAAAAAATAAAGGGATCAGGAACTTTTTATGAGAAGGTTGCCTGTTTATTGAATAAAATATATAAAATAAAAATGTGAGTAGAACTGTACTGTCCTTTTTCTTCATCTAAATAGTTGGGATATTTATATTGTTAATTTTTTTTTCTTTTTGACTTTTTTCATTTTTTTGACTTTTTTCACTTTTTTGACTTCTTCGTCACACTACACCACTAGTGTGAGATTCAATATACTTTCTGGTTTTGGCAAGCTTGATATAAGTTATTGATATAAAGTTTTAATAGTTGAATAAAGTATTGGATAAAGTAAGTTCCAAATAGAGTAGATAATTCGAGTTATAAGTTCGCTTAAGTAGAGTGACCACCAGATCTTGTTAAGTAGATCAGACTGATTTGAATAAAAGTAAAAGTAATGTGTAGAAGATAAAATAAAAAAAGAGATTACAGTGAAGTATATGATTCAAGGGATTATTGGTTCTTCCTATTTATAAAATAAAAGAGTATTTTGTTTTCAAAGGAGATTTATTTGGATAAGGTAAGATAATAATAATAATAATAATAATGCTTGATAAATTGTTGATATTTATATGTTTTTGGTTTTCTTGATTTTGTGCTGTTTTTGGGTTTTTGTGCTTTTCCTTTGAATTGTGAATGTTGTTGAGTTATTCAATTTCATTGAGTTATCAAAAATATTGAGAGTATGAATTTAGTTCAGATCCGAACTTTCTTTGACAAGTGGTACAGTTTGACTAAAAGGATCTATAATTTCGTCACACTACTATTGTCACAGTGTTACACTACTACAACACTAATTCAAAAGGAGAATGAAACATACGACAAAAGTTTGTTTGTCGTGTTTGATCATGAATAGTCTTTTTATAGTATGTAACAAAGGTACAGATAAATTATTAAGTAGTTAAAGATTGGTCTTTTTATCTAATAAAGATAATGCATATTTATACTGTTTTACATTTGCTGCGGAGGTGACATTTGTTATGTTGTAACTTGTCGGTTATACTGTAGTTAGATGTGCTTACGGAGGTAAATTTAGGTGTTTGGTTGTTAAAGTTGATAGAGTTTTTCTTGATAAGAGTAAGATTTAAGCAAAAGCTTGTTATATTTGTCGTTGATAGTGACCACTAGATCTTATGTGTAAGATCAATACGATGTTTCTTGAGAAGGTATTGGGATTTAAAGTATATAATAAAAATGTCAAGAACTTTATAAGTAAAGATAGCCTGTTTATAATATAAGTGATTCTTTATTGAAAATGAATAAGATATAGAATAATTGTGTCAAAGAAAATAATTGTTGGGATATTTATACTAGTTGTGGTTGTTCTTCTTTTTTTTTTTTCTTTTTTTTTTGAAGTTTCTTTCATTTTTCTATTTTTTTTCATTTTTGAACCTTGTTTGATTTTTGAACCTTGTTTGATATTTGAACTTTCTAGTCTTCGCTAGCCTGACTTTGTGTAACGCTTTCATTTTGGTTTTGTGGGTTACAATGTATTGGTATAGTGTTGATATTGAAAGCACTGCGGATATACTGCGTCTATGCTGCTGTAATGATTTGGTTTATAGTAGTTTCTCTGTTTGGGAGTGTTGAGTTAAGGTTTAAATAAACAGATTTGGGTGTAATTGATATAAGAGTTGCTTTTATATGAGTCAGATTTGGCTTAATTCGCTTGTTATAGTGACCACCAGATCTTATAAAGTAGATCAGACTGTTTTGATAAAGGTAAAATAAAAAAAAAAGATAAAAAGATAAATAAAAGGGGGTTTTACAATGAAGTATGATAGCTTCAAGGGACTTCTTGTTCTTGATGTTAAATAAAATAAGAGATAATTTGCCTCTTTAAAAGAATATTTATTTGATAAAAAGAAAAAGTAAAATAAGAAGTGAAGTATTTTTGTGATTATTATTTGGAGTTATTTATATGTTTTTGGATTTTATGCTTTTGTTCTGTTTTTGGTATTTTGGGTGGTTGTTATAACATAAGAGGCGGTTGTTGTATAGTGTAAGGTGGTTGTTGCAAACTGTAAGGCGTTCGTTATAAACTGCAACGATTTAAATTCCGCCGTTTTGTTCTTGCGTGTTACACTGCGTCTGTACTGCGGTTGACATTGTAATTTTCTTCAATATATTGCTTGTTTGCGTGTTTAGGTTTTTAAGTATGTAAGTTTTGTCGATAGTAACCACCAGATCTTGTTAATAGTAGATCAAACTTGTTAGAATAGGTTAAACTCTTGAGGTTTAGGAATAGCTTTACAATGAAGATTATTGACTTCAAGGGACTTCAGTATTTAAAATAAAACACAGACCAAAGGGTTTCAATTGAACGCTTGATGGATTTATTGTTTTATAAAATAAAGAAAATATAAAAAGAATATAAAATTCAAAAGTAAAGTGAAGTGAAGTGAAGTGAAAATAGGGATAAGATATAAGGGTATTTATATGTTTTTGGTTTTTATAATTTTATGTTGTTTTTGGTTTTCAAGCAAAAGAGTTGATACTCCGTTTTCAAATAGGTTGTTACGCAAAAGTTCATTTTCTAACTGGCGTGGTACTGTAACTTTAACGTTTTTGTTGTAATGGCCTTAAGAGTTTAGAAGTAAATTTGACTTTTCTTTAGAGTGTAAAAGAATTTGAGATCAAAGATTTGTGTTTAAATGAATAAATTTGGTTTGCTTGTAGTAAGTGACCACCAGATCTTGTATTGTAGATCAAACAGCAAAAAGTAATAAAGAGTTTTCTTGATAACGTGCCACCAAGCTTAAACCTGAAAAATTTTAATTTTGTTTCAATTTTTTTTTGACATCGTGGACATGAGGTGTATTTTTTTTTTTTTAGACATCTCATGGCATTTAGTGTAAACATTGCTTATTTCCTGAAATTAGAGGGACTTAATGACGTTTTTTTCTTAGAAAAAAAGCCTAGTTTTAATGATATTTATTGTTAACTATACCAAATCTGAAGACACTCTGACTTTTCTGTGAGACAAATGCTTTTTCTCTACAAATTTTCTCATCTCTTGAACAACTTCTCTGCCATCAGTACATCGACTATAAGCTTCAATAAAGTCCATTGATCTCCTAAAATACCTACGTATATGTGCTAGATCGCCGGTTTTATCCAAAATTGAATCGATATTTTCCTCAAGAGACTTAAAGGAGTAATCGCATTTTAAGCGAGCTTCTCTTTTTGCTGCACCCCAGTACATTTCGATCCAATTGCATTCGCAATGGTATTTAGGATACAGCTCAAAAACGTAGACAGAGTTTATGATCACCTCCTCCAAGATAAGGGATAAGAAGGGCAATTTGAAAACAACAAAAGTACGTTATTTCAAGGGAATAAGAAAAATTTTGGAGGAAAGAAGTCTATGGATTGGGCATGATCTGGAAGGCAAGAAATGGAAGTTGCATCGTGGGACTCCAGATCGAGTTAATCCAATTTGCTATGCTCTCTATTTTTTAGAGAACTGCCCTGATTTTAAAAATCAAAAGTCTGCTTTAATTCTATAAGCTCAGAATCGCTCATATCCCAGTCTTGATCTCTTAAATGAGGGGTAAATTGATTCGTCTCATTCCTATGTTTTTTAAGATAAGCTCGTTTTCTAGCGTTAAGTGGAGGCATAGTTTTAGAGTATAAATAAGGGAGAAGAGGCACCTATGTTAAAGTACGAGCTCTTTCATATTGATTACGTAATATGTGGCTGTTATTTTTCTCTGTCCTGCACCATACGGTATAACAAAGAATTTGTTTCAAAATATGTCTTCCCTTAAGGACTGACAGCTAAAATTTTGAAATACCGCATGTTTTCAAATGATAGAAAATGAAAATATTATTAATAAAACTAACAATCTAATCCATAAGAAATATTCAGAAAGGTTTATATAATAATTGTTATGGCTTTGTTTTGTTGTTGGATTATTTGTGGAAAAGTTTATAGCTTTTGAAAATTGCCAAAAATTTTTCAGGTTTAAGCTTGGTGGCACGTTAAGAGAATATAAAAGTGATACGATGAAGATAATTTGACTTCAAAGGACTTGACTTGCTTGAGTTATAAAATAAAAATAAAGAGTTTTAATAAAGAGGAACTCGATGTTTATTTGAATAAAAGATGTTTTTAAAAGTGAAGTTCAGTATATTTAAATCAAATTATAAGAGGGGATATTTATATGATTATTATTTTTTTGTTTATCTTCAGGGACTGAGGTCCCTCCTTCGACTGAGTCCTTTCTTCAGCAAAAGTTACACCAACTGCGTCACAGTACTGTAACTTGTTAGTACTTGGGACTTGGCTTGTGTTAAAGTGATGTAGATTTGTTTAAATTGAGGTTTGAAGTCTTGAATGACTTGAGTTTAGGTAACTTGATTGAACGTTTAACAGTTCTTTAGAGTAAATTGTCTTTGAGTAGTGACCACCAGATCTTTTTAGATCAATAAGGTTAAGAATAAGATTGTTTGATAAACGATAAAAATAAAAGGGAACTTTCTTGATTTGTGATAACTCGGGTATCAGATCAGAAAGAATAAGTAAAAATAAAAAGAAAAGGTAATTGTGACGCAATAAGAAAAAATTGCTTTTTAAGCGCAAGAGGATTTGATTTATTGAATTTATTGGATAATGTTATTTTGTTTAAAATTATTCATCTTATTTATATAAAAATTGGCGTGGCTTATTGTTTGTGTTGTTTGACATCTATGTCGAACGACATCAATGTCGCTGGACATCAAAATTATTCTTGTGATCAGCATTGTTCTCTTGATCTAAAATTTCATCATTTGTGCTACAGTACTAAAAAAAACTTGACTGTATATCTTTCAACATTTATAAGTAGAAGTATTAAAAAAAGAATATTTGTAACATAATCCAAAAGAAGAATAAAACATATAGCTATTGAGTAAACATTAAGTCATTAAATAAATGACGGTTCCATGTTTCAGCCCGACGGGGGGGTCGAACCCCCAACCTTGAGATTAAGAGTCTCACGCTCTACCGATTGAGCTAGCCGGGCTAGCTGTTTTTGATGTGAATTGGTATAGTAGGTGGAGTGCACCTTGGGATAGATGTTCACTGCAAATAATATAGAGACTTTGACGTAGATTTTTAACAGACCTGACAATCATAGATCCGTAGATTTTATAATTTTTTTATGAGAAACCATTATATCTTGCTGTGTTACATCTTTTTTAATTTTGAAAAAAGATTTAGGTGCGAAAAAAATAAAGAAATTTATCGATATTTTTGTTTTTTTTGTAGGGTAAGCATTCATAAAGTTATTCACGTTTTAAAAAAGTATCTGTTTTTTTTACAAATGATCTTTTTTTGGAAAGCCTGTTCCTCTCTACTGTTGAAAGACCGATGTCTTCTTTTTTTTTATTTTTGAGGCAAAATGCGGAAATCAAAAGCAATTTGCGATTATTTTGTTCAGAAGAATACATATTAGGAAGGTGGTTTGTGTTTTTTAGCTTAGATCATTACAAACGTGTTACAAAACGTAATAAAATAGTTGTGTTTGGGAAAAAAAATGACCTGGTAAAAAAAGACTTCGTAAAAAAAAAAGTAAGTTAAAAAAAAAGACAAAGTGAAAAAAAAAAAAAGAGTCTGGCAATAGAAGGTTCATTGTTCAAATGAAAACAATCATCTAACAACAAGTACACTTCATAGAAATGCAAACTACTTTTACATTATAAAAAAAGAATACGTGTATATTCTAAAAGAATAGAAAAATAAAGAAGCTCTGCTAACATTTTGTTACAAGGCAGTTATAATTAACAAATACATACAAAACGTTTTTGTTTATCAAGTAAATAGATTGTTTTATTATTTTTTATGACAAATATTGTAAAAGAATATATGTTTTTAAGCTTATACTCGCTCATTACTTACTTTATGTTTGCACATGGGTGTAATTTGCCATTAGTCATTAGTCATTAGAGATGTGGGCAATGGCAACTTTCTTTACCAAAAAAGCTTTTCAGCAATAAACAACAATATAAGTCTGATATTCTTATAGTTTCTTTAAGTTGGAAAGAACAACTTTGCCCATGAGTCTCATGTTCGTCATCCGAATGTGTGCCATTAGGAATTCCTAATGTAAGAAAAAAAGAAACCGACATTAGACTTCGTTATTATTTTTGTTGTTATAAACTTACATTTGACCAGAACTTGAGCTTTCTTTTTTATCTTTTGTACCTTGAGCATCTAATGATAGTCCATGAAACAAAACCAGGGAAAAAAAAAAAATGTTACTTTAAGCACCGATTTTGTTTTTTGAAATTTAACCTTTTTTTTTATCAGACACGTTTTCTCTTTCTACCTATTTTTTTGCTATTTCTAAATTTAAAAATTATAAACAACATGAACAACTTCAATGCCACCAAAATTGCTTGCACCTGTTCTGAATGCAGCAGCCAACCCAATGGATACAGAATGCTTGCAAAGAGAACTGTTAGAACTCATGTTCTTATGGATAGATATAGAAATAGAGGTTTTTTTTTATTTTTCAGTGGAAATACAAACGTGCTAATGTAAAAAAAAACAAACAAACAATAGAATCGAGAAGAGTATCTGAAGCTAACGACAACGGGGAGGAAACTGTCGAATACTCGTCAGCCATTCCTGAGCCAGTAATTGAAGGTATATTTCAAACAACAAAGTATTTAATATAAGAAAGATTTTATTTATTGAAATATATTTTGCAACTTGTTAGACGGAATGAATGTTGACGAAGAGGAGGGAATGAGTAATGAGCAGCAGCTTCGTCACCTTTTGCTGTTGTTCATTGTGCTTTTTCAAGCAAAGCACCTCTCGGTGAAAGCCGGTGAAGACTTGTTGGCCTTTCTTTCCTTTTTTGTCCGTTCTCTTGGCCATAGTATGGAGATTCCAACAAAGATCTCTACTGCCCGTACTATGGTCAATTATTCCAAGGCCACCGATGGTTTGTCCCGTTTTCTTGTTTGCTCTGCTTGTCGAAGCGTTTACACTTCTGGAAGCTTGCATTCTCGCTCCTGTGGATATGTACGCTTCCCTAACAACCCTTATCGACAAGCACAACCATGTGGAAATGCTCTTTTTGTAGGCAGCAGTTTAAAGCCAGTGCTTGAGTATCCCTACAACTCAATTGTTGAGACTTTAAAAAAGTTCTTTATGCGACCCAGCTTTGAACAACAGATTGAGCAATGGAGAAGAAGGTCAGTTGATGAAGATGTCATGTTCGACATATATGATGGCAGAGTTTGGAATCAGCTTGTGGATTTAAATGGACAAGTCTTTACCCGCCAGCCAAGATCATTAATGGTATCATTGAATGTGGATTGGTTCCAGCCAAGTGACAATATGAAGCATTCTAGTGGTGCTATTTACCTTGCAATTAACAACTTGCCAAGAAATACGCGCATGAAGTTTTCCAACATCGTTTTGGTAGGTGTTATTCCTGGACCCCACGAACCAAATGATGATCAAATCCAGAACTTTTTAAAGCCATTGGTTGATGAATTGCTTGTATTGTACAATGGTGTTGTAATGCCCACTTATCAAAATCCTAACGGAGAAGTAGTTCGTGTGGCATTAATGTCCATCAACTGTGATATGCCTGCAGCAAGAAAAGTAGCTGGATACATGGGCGCCATGGCTACTAAAGCATGTAACAAGTGCTCAACTGCTTTTGGTCGTTTGTCAACCGGTACCAGGTCTTCAAAGCCAAACTTTTCCGATTTTGATGATGAAAACTGGGTGCAAAGAACGTGGGAGCAGCAAAGAGTTGATGCGTACGACTGGTTGACTGCTACGCACAAGGCACAACAAGAAGAAAAGCAAGCAAGTTCTGGTACAAAATGGAGTGAAATACACCGACTTCCTTACTTTGACGTGGTGAGATATGTAACTGTCGATCCAATGCATAATTTGTTTCTTGGAACACCAAAAAAAATGATTGAAGTTTGGCAGGATTTTGGTTTGCTTGATTCTACTGATTTTTCAGCAATGGCAACAGAGTCAACTACCATAATCATTCCTCGGCAATACACTAAGCTATCTGAAGGTATGTAATACTGCTAGATTGTGCTTATATATACGCAAAATAAAACTTTATTGTATGATGGGGCAAGATACTTACTTTTTCTTTTTTTAAAAAAAAAATAGGAAAAATCTCTGGTGCTTTTGCTAATATGAAATCAGATGAGTGGAGAACTTGGGTTGTTGCGTTGTCACCTTTCCTTCTCAAACAAAGACTGTCAGGTGAACATTTTGTGAACTGGTTGCGGTATGTCGATGCTGTGAAGCTGGTCACTGGACCTTCCATCACAGTAGAAGACATAGATACAGCACATCTATTGATGAAAAACTTTGGCAAGACCTGTGTCGAGTTGTATGGTGAATCTATGCCCACTCCAAACATGCATATGCATCTTCATTTGAAAGAAAGCTTCCTGGACTTTGGTCCCTCATACTCTTTTTGGCTTTATGGCTTTGAACGTCTTAATGGCGATATGAAAGATATTAACATCAATTTTAAGACTGGATTTGAAACAACTTATGCTACTATGTTCATTCAAAATGTTCACACACAAGATCTAGTATATTCCTTACATTCCTTTATAAATTCAACAAACGAAGACATGCTCCTACTAACCAAATTTATAGAAGAGATAGGTGAGGTTACGAATGACGAGAGTGGTTTAACGCCATTTGATTACTCTCGTTTCATAGACGGACCTAGCTTATTTAATTCGACAATTACTGGTAGTGAGCCTCTGCCACCTACGTCCTATCCTTTAAAATTCAATAAGAAGACAGAACTTATATGCCATGAACATTATGACGCTTTAAAAAATCATTATATGAACACCTATGCACCTATGACTACAAACACATACATTGATACCACAATACACTCATTCAAAAAAATCACTTTGCTTGGGCAGCTTTACCAGCCAGCAAGTGATAATTCATTATCATCATCACCATCATCATTCATTCAGGCCATTGTCGACAATCAACTGCGCATTGGTCAAATATCATATTTTTTTACTCATTCATTTGGTAACAACACTCATTACTTTGCATTTGTCAATTGGTACAGCCATGCGACCCAACATTTTCCCACTTTTGATGGTACTGGCATCCAAGTGTGGAAGAATCAGTATAAACCAGTGTCAAGGCTTAGCATACTTCCGATTCATCGCATTTATAATCCTGCTGCTGTCAAGCCATATATCGACAATAATATTCTCACTCTCTCTCTTCCAAGAAAAATTTATATGTAACAATTATGCAAAACTATTCAATCATTTATCATTATCATTATTATTATTTTATATATTTTACTAAAGAATCATTCAATAGACCACTTTTTTTTTAACAAATGTTTATTCAATTTGGTAAGAGACAACAAAACAAGAAACAAAAAAAAAAAGCAAACAAAAAAGTGGATGCCTATGGCATTGGGTTGGCAGCAGCAGAGGAGGAAGGACCAGAAACAGAAGTGGAGAAGCCAAGAGCAGGGGAAGAAAAAGCCCAGGAAGGGTAGTACTCATGATCAAGTTTATCTGGGAACTCCATTTCAACATATTGTACTCTTCTTCTAATTGTTGGTGGAGCTCCCTTTTTCTTTAGTAATTCTTTGTACCCTTTCTGGAGCTCTTTGTGGAATTCCACTACCTGTAGGCAATTAAGGTATATTAGAAAATGAGATTTATTGATATGTCATACTTACTCTTTCACTTCTGAATGATGGTCGTTTGACAATAAACGTACGGCCATCTTCATAATATGGGCCATTCTCCTCATCAGAGGTCCAATCAACCGTCAAGATCTTTTCGGCAAATGGGAACCGTGCTTGGTATGCAGCTGCGTTAGCGTTGTAAGCAACCCTCCTGTTAAGGAGTTTCTATTATAAAGTATTGATGTAAGTATTATAGGCATTTTATATTACAATTTTTAAATATCAAGTACTTACTGCATTTACGCGGCTGCGGCAGGCTGACGTTGGTGTCGTCACAGCTTTCCCATTTG